AACAAAACTACTCCACCTCCCTGAATCCCCTTAGGTCTGTCTGACCTGTAAGCAGTGAAGCGAACTCGACTTCTGTAAGATGGCCAGCTCGTCTTTCTTATTTATTATGCTTCGAGCATTCGTCATGAAGCCGCTTCTATAGTGTGATTTCTTCTTATTTAAGGAAGAGTCGGGCATTCCCTCAGGGTCTATTCCCGAGGGCTTCGCACGTTTTTGTCTAACCCTGGCGGTCTGCACTTTATGGCGTCTGTAATATTATATGTGGACTTGTGGAGTCGGACATCGTCTTGTCCACTTTGGTACCTGGCGATGGTCCTTGTCCCTCCAACTGGCTCACAGCAACTGCGGGTAGACTGTTGTGGTCATTTAGATGGGAGCCAAATTTGTTCGCTCGCGCTGGGGAAAAGATGTACTCGCTGCATCCGTAGTAATTTTTATGTTACCATCTAGTGCTTTCGTTACTCTGTGAGCTGCCGCCATTATGGTGTTCCGGTCCCTTTGAGAGCGAAAGTAGACTAACAATGACCTGGGTGTTGTGATACTTCCTTCCGGGTCCCACTTACCGATGCGGTGGACTTTTCTGGTGCGCACGGAATCTACAGTTCCTGCATTTTGTATTATTGAGTCTATTAGATCACGGTCCCTTTTTCTTCTGGCACGCATGTCCTCCCTAAAGAACTCTGGGAAGTTATCAAATTTTAAATTCTACCCATAGATAGCTCATATGCGGATTTAAGCTCGTGTACTTGACGAAGCACATACTATAGTCGGTCCAGCATATCTGGGAGGGAGTGACTTCCCCCGTGGCGCTTGTGCTCAGATCTGAGTGCGCCTCCTTATGGAGATTTCGGTTTCCCAATAGGCTTGGGATCCGGAGGACTCCTAACGGCGGTATGTATGCGCCTCACTACTGTTGAGGGCGTGCGCAGTCCCTGGGCTCTGGGGCTAGGGGTGCTTAACACAGACGTCGATGGGGTGATGAGGCTACGCCGCTCTAGTTTCGAGGCCTTTTCCGTAGGCAAGGCGTTTACCCGGGGTGTGTGTGTCTAGGGTTTACTCTTTTATCTGTGGTACCATACGTTACGATCGTTCGTTTCTTCATAGAACGGGCAGCTTGCAGTCTGATTTCCAGAGGCCGCAGATTTGCGTGGGGACGTCCGATTGAGCTTCCGCGATTGATCGGTGATAATTGGAATACTCTTGTCGTGTATTTTGGCCTAATGAGCCCTCCAGGCTTGGCGCGATGCTTCTATGCAGTGGCCACAGTCCCCGTATTGATCGATGAGTGAAAATCCTTCCTTCCAAATGAATCTATCTCGGTTCTAAATTTCGTGAATTTCACGTTCCATTTACACAAAACCACCCGCCTCACACATACATAAACATTTGAGATTCCATTCTCTTTGTATATTTACACATCGACCCTACCATTTGACGTTGTTGGTTTATCTGCTTCATTTGTACCCTACCTGTTTTAATCACGACCTGAGCGGTCAAGTTTGGCTCGTTCGTGTGCAGCGTGACGGTGAGCGTCCTGTTCTTACCCAGACTTATTTTCATCCGTTCAGATTTGTTAAATTACTTGCACGGTAACACTTGGCTCTTGTTTTCAAGTTGTTTTGAAATCAATTTGAGGTTTGTAAAGTTTTCATTTGATCGTTTAATAATGCAGTACCGTAGAAACTTGCTTGGTCGTTCGTTTTGTCGACGTTTTCGGATCCGATTTCGGTTACGCGTTACTCGTTGCTCTATTCGAGAGAAACAGTCCCATTCAAATTCACTGCTTCTGCAGTAGAATTCATAGTGTCATTCGAATATTGCCGAATATTTGGAATGGGCCCAACGGCTACAGGTGCCACAGTGTATACACTTCACAACTCGTTTGCCGCACTTTACCCCCACACACGAATGGGAGGCACGTGGCATTGATAATAAATAATAATATGGTTACAGATTGATAGAAAGTTAGCTAATCCACAAACTGAAAAAAGTTGGGAATGTATTGTTAGGGTATTGGTAGGTAGGGTGAGGTAAACATTTATTATTTAGGTAACGTTAAACTGTGGCTCTGTAAATAACACTGATTGTTAACGTAAACCAAGAAACTGGTTTACATACAACTGATATTAGCAGAAAAAATTATCAACAATAGCAAGAGAAGCGCCCAGGAAAAATTTAAATTTCAAATTTCAGGACGCGAGGAGGCCTTTGCCTGTGAGGTGTCCTGTTAGTGGTGTGTTCTGTCCTGGGACTGAGTCACCTGCGAGTTCGTACTGTTACCAGTTTAACCGTTTAAATTCAAATTGAAATCAGAGGATGTAGAGAGGCCTTCTCCTGTTGGGTATCCTAGCAATAGCGGGTTCCGTCCGGGAACCGACTCGCCTGCGAGTGTAATATTTCTTCCGACTCTCCACAAAGAGAGTAATATCTGAAAGGAAGAAGGGAAAGGGAGACGACGCAGTATCTGTTACGTTAATTTCTTCAGTAAACTAAAAGAACCCTGAGTCATAAGGCAGATCTGGGGATAAGAAACACCATTGCTTGTCCAGTTCTTGTTTTAAATCCTTCATTGTGGTACATTCAACTATTTGAGGTGGTAACTTGCTCCATGCAGGGAGTATTGTGTTTGCAAAGAAATGGTATCTGATTGCTAGCCTGCTCTTGCTTCTCTCAAGTGTGTAACAGTGTCCTCGGAGAACGCTGTCGGCCCGAAAAGTGAACAAGTGCTCGATGGATGACTGCTCCATGTTCCTAGTTAAAGCAATCCAAAGGACTGAAAATTCCTCTCCATTGCCTTGCATTTCCTCATCTTTCTTCGCCATTCTATC